GTCCTGGGGGCCTTGGGGAGCTGGACATGCAGCTGCGGTGCTTCTGCAGCAGGGGGCCTGACTGGCAGCTGGAGCTTGGCTCTGGCCAGCCAGGCTCTGGTTTTGGGTGGTGCGCACTGCTGCAGTGTGTGCACTGCCACCCTGCTTTTTTTTTTTGGTATGGTTTATTTTGACCCCGGGATCTCCCAGGGTCAAGAACCCCCCCGCACACTGCAAAGTAGCAGTGTGTGAATGCCTGCATCTGTGGCCTGTGGCACTGCAGGTAGGTCTGCGGAGCCACATATTGCACAGCCATGCTCATCTGGACACAGCTGGTATAGATATGCCTATGTTCTCCTATGGGTGTTTCTCTTGCTTCTGGGCTTTGCTGGTTGTCCACGACCCCTTTTCTGCTGCGTGTCAGGGTGTTTTTAAACCTCCCTCAGAGGTATTGGCTACAGTCAAGGCTGGGGGCTTTGACTGAGGTGTGCCAATGTTCCTGTTGAGACCAAAGATGGAGGGTCCTGGCTAGAGGGCTTTGCCTATGCTTGGGGTCAGACTGATTACCATATTTGGGTCAGGAAGGAATTTTAGTCCATGGTCAGATTGGTATAAATTATGTCTTGTCTTCCTCTGTAGTGGGGGGTGTGGCCCTCTACGTGGGATCTCTTGAGCATGTATTAACAACGTTCTTTAGAAGCAGAACATTGGCTGCCATGGTTCCCCTGCTTTATCTGTGGCAGGTTAGGGTGTTATGTGTTGTGTCAGGGTTGATGGTAGTCTTATGTAGAGTTTAGATTATGGCTTGCATAGGATGGTTTGGATAGGGATAAGTCTGCCTCAGTTAGGGGGTTGGACTAGATGACCTCTGGAGGTCCCTTCCAACTCTACTTCTCTTTGATTCTTTGATTTCTAGATCCAAAGGATTCCTACCAGCTTTAAACTTATGTTTCTGCTTTACAAAATTGCAGATACAATTATCATGAAGTTCCAAGACAGACTTCCTGGCATCCTTTGGCAGCAAGCGGTCTCCAAATGCATCAGCATGTAACACTCCACTAACAGCATGTCTAAGATGTACCTGAAAGAAAATAATTATGTAAAGCCCCATCTAAATAGAAACTCCCTTACTTCCTGAAATGTTAGAGCAATAGTAAATGTACATGTAAAAGGCATTCTTTTCTATGGAATAACGTGTGAAATTCTGGTTCTTAGATCCTTAATATGACACTAGTGAGCTCTTTGTCTTTTAAGGTAATTTGATCCTTGAAGGCAGTAGTACGAAAGTAGAAATGAAGTCAAGCTTCATGTTTGTTGCCTGCCCACACCCACTGGTATAAATGCAGTCTGTTCATTGTTCTTGATGCAGTCAACAAAAGGGTTCTTTGTGGAGATCCCTCATTAGATACCGCTCCAGATCTTCCTCAAAACCTTGCCACGCCTCATCAGGTATCTTAAGTACCTTGCCTGTGGCTTCTGGTCAGGTCTGCTCATTTCTCTCTTTGGACATCTTTCTTTTATGTACCCTTCTTAAATACCTTCAGTGTTTTGGAAAAACACTACTCTGGATCTGAATGTTGTGGTTCATGTTCAGCTCTATATTTGATCCTTTCAGAAACATTAGGAGTTATCGATTATCCCAAAGGTATGTAATTTTAAGTTAAAAAATCTATTTCTTGATTCACCTTGATCTCTACAGCAGGAGGGTTTATACCTTTAACAGAAAAGAGTTACAGGAATTGTCTCTGGCAGGTTACTGAAAATGGCTCCCCACTCACCCTCTGGTAGACTTTTTTTTTTTAATAAACCTGGGATAAGTTGTTTACCCAAATATTTATCCAGATATACACTGTGGATCATCTTGTTGCAAAGTAGTTTCTAAGTGTTTGCAATCAACCACCCAGGGTAGTGTGTGTAGAAATCTCTGTTGCTGTGCACCAGAACACATCATTCACTGGAATTGTAGGTTCTCAGTCCCTTAGAAAATCAGGCTAGGCAGCCACAATAAGAGGACACTACTGAGTGTTTGACTCTTAGTCTTTCTTTGCCACTTTTCTCTGTGGTTCTCCAATTCCAGACATTTGCTCAGAGAAATCACGAATTCATTCTGAGCAGATACAAGTTAAACCATAGTAAAATATTCCCTGTATGATTCCATGTTTTGCAGCTATGACGCAGAGTAGCAAGGATTAATTTACATGATGCATATGTTTATCTTCCTGTATGTCAGTCTCACAGAAAGTTCCACAGATTTGCTTATGGGAATGAGGCTTTTCAGTGCAGCTTCTTCAGGGTTGTCACTGAGAGATGTGAATGTACTTGCACTCCATGAGTGATCAGAGGAAACACTCAAAGACATATTTCCACTGCAGTTGCTCAGACACGTGACCAGCTTTGAGTTATTCTCACTTAAAAGAAATCAATTGGCTCCTCGGCCATGAACTAGTTAGGAGCTCTGCTGTGCTTGTGTTTTTACTTTCAAATGCTTTATGGCAGTGCAGCAAAGTTACAAAAATGGCAGACTGAACAACGGCCAAATCTTGGCCCTACTCCTTAATCTTAGTATTATATCTTGGTAGATCTGAGGGGGAAAGGTAAGGAAGGGTTTTTAAAAGCCAGAGAAGAACTCTGAAGCTGTCTAACAGAATTTCCTCTTAATTGCTAGACTATCTCCACATCCCAGGTACACCTTCTGCATACGCGAGGAATCAGAGAATCCATGTAGCAGTGGTTCCTCTGGCTGTGCACCATTCTCATTCACCTCTGTATGGTTCCAAAACTTCTCTCAATACCACCATTCAAGGACATCTGCTGGTTGCCCCTACTGCACCAGAGTCCTGCCTCCCCTTTATGTTTGAGAGAGATGTATGATTCTGCACCCCCTTTCAAATATTCCTGTTGCTGTGAGAGTGTAATCTTTCTGGAGCATACTTCAATGAATCTTGATTAACCCTAGAACTGGTGAGAAAATGTATTTTCCATGGAAAATGTTGACGAAGATGACAACACTTCATTTTTTATCAATTTTTTTGTGTAGAAAATGGGTATTTTTGGGTGTAAAATCAGAAAACAAAATTTTGATTCAGAAATGCCACTTCAGTGGCTCATGGGAATTTTTGTTTGGGGGCTTGCTCCTCTTCTCGTGTATGCTATGAGGCATTGCCATAGAACCGCCTAAGACTTGAAGCAGGAGAAGGGGTTGGGTCCCCTGCATTTGAAGGCAGTCATTAACCAGATTTCCATCTTCAGCTTCCTCTGTGCAAAAATGAAGTTTATTTCCTACCTATGGGGATTTTTTACCATCTTGTACCATCTACACTTTGCCCAGAGCCTGACGAAGGGACTTAGATCCCGAAAGCTTGCAGAAAAGGACAGTTTTCTTGCCATTTTCCAGTTAGTCTAATAAAAGATATCATTTTGGAACCAAGAGTTCTAGGTTTTTGTATATCATTAACCAAAGGCACTATACCCTGGTAGTCACGTTTGAGGGTTTGAAGTGGGGATAACAAGGGCATCCTTGGGTAAAACTAGACTCAGTGGCTAGAGGCTCCTTCCAGTCCTATCTAGTGAACTTGTAACACTGACTTTTTAGGGTGTGTGCTTGGTGGGTATTTGTTGCACCTCTGGAACTGCATTACTTGGGCATTAGTTCCCTAGTTAGGTGTTTTATGATGCAAGTCCTCAGCTCATCTGCTCCTGGCTATTATGGCATCAGTGATAATTTTCTCTCTCATGGTCATTTGTACATGAAGCCAGCTCATTTCTCTAACATGGATTATAACTTAAACTACAGTCACTACATTACAGGAAAAACAACTAGTTCCCTTAGTAACAACCTAGAGTGAGGATGAGTGCGCGGGAGTCTCTGAAAAGCTATCATGCTGGAGCACAAATGAATACAAATGTGCCTTGCCACAGTACATCTCTGTCTGAAATACTCCCCCCTTGATAGCGTGGAACAGGCTGATCCAATTTGTTTCTGTCACCTTCAAATATAAACCTGCTGGAACAGATAGCTGTACACAAAGCCATCCTATGCTCCCACTAAGTGCTAACAAACAAGATTGTGCTTGTAAGAGCACACAATAAAGTATCACTGTGCTCCATTATTTTATAAATGATCAAGGGGACAGAAGAAACAGAAACCCAGTTCAAGAGTTTGCAGATCCTGGAGATTTTTCAACAAAGATAGCACACAGTTCATTGCATGTGGCATTCATGGGGAAATAAACATATGAGCAATTGCATAGCCCTCCTTTCATCACCTCATGAACATTTTCTACTGTATTATCTAAACCTAACAATAGAGTTCTAAGAACTTCATAGCCTTATCACCTTGGTTTATGTGCTTTGGAGGGTGGGAATGGAGCAGCCAAGTTAGTCCTTAGGAGAGATTCATCCTTTTGATTCCTGATGGGTCATTTCATGTTGAGTTTTTGAAACAGCATGTCACAATGAGTGTGCTTGATATGTGTGTTTGTATGCACCCAATTTAAAAGTGGAAAAGAGACTCCAGGGAAGAGGTTGTTGCATCAAATTAGCCCTACTTATATCAGGCCATATTGGTCTTTCTTGTATGACACTGACACAAACTGGGCCTTGATGGTATCACAACATACACTAGAGTAGTCATTCTAGCGCAAAGTTGAACCTTTGATGCTGCAGCAAGGGAAGATGTCTGAAAGGAGGAGCAGCTGGAATCCTACTGTAGCATACTAATCCTTAATTGTGTTTTCAGTCCGTCAGGGAGGGCTTGGACAGAAAGACAGAACCCTGATTGGTCGAACGACATATTTGCACTTTCTCTAGTTAATAATCTAACTGGTTTAGTTTTGAAGCAAATATAGTTTGTAGATTTGTAACATGGTAGATCTCTTCCTGAATGGATTACTGATGCCTCAGTAGAAGATGAGAAATAAAATATCATGACTTTATGCATTTCTTTTTCCTCAGCCATTATTAATTAGAAGGACATTTTCATGCAGAATTACTTTTAAGAGAAAATTTTGCTTTCCTGTCAGGAGCTCATCAGTTTCTGCTGCTCATTCTTCAGCCAGAGTGAGTGATGTCAAAATCTGGAGATGAAACTGACCAAATCAAATCCAAGGTGCTTCGGAACTGAGCAGCATCATTTGACTCCATCTGGTCTCCATTCCACAGGTACATGTCATTCTTATACAGCTTTATCGCTTCATTTGCTTAAATGGGATCTCCTTTTCAGTGTTTTCTTCATTTTATTTTGGAGAGTTTCTTCTCCAGAAGAAGCTACAGGCAATCTTAGTAGTTCCCTACTTTATCATAATATGCCTTCTCTGTATAAGTGCGTGTAGTGTCAGCCAAATAAAGAAAAACTTGTTTGGGATAGTTATATTGTTTTATTTGTATACATTAACATAAATTATAGTCAGCTCTATTGCTGTTTCCAAAACATTACTAATTCTGGGTCCCCATCCTACACATAATTGCTGCCAGTTATAACAGGGATGGAGGAGGCAAGCTGAGATGTGTTCACAGCTCATCTGCACAGAAATGTGTGTATGGTGTTGATATCTCTGCCTTTGTCTCCCCCACTACTTTTAGCTTGTCTCTTCTTATTTACCCACTGGTTTTAAAATGTTATTCTTGCTTCGTAAGCTTTTTGGATAAGAGGCTTTTTTTAAGTGTGTGTGTGTGTGTGTAAAATTATATCTTTTTGTTTACTATACGTTTATACCATATCTAGGAGCATTTGGCTTTGGTCAGAATCGGTGCAATTTCATACGGGTTGAACTTTATTTTTGGGTACAACTATTTGCAAAGTTGGTTCCTGAATTGATGTCCAAGAAGATGCATGGTGCATTAAAAAAACCACCACCTAAATGGCCTATATTGTACCAGTTTCTTTGCAACAGGGCCACAATACTGTAAGCCTTGCTCTTTTTGTTAGACATTTTGTGAAATGTAAATAGAACTAATCCCTTATAGGTCATCCTAATGTAAATTTATTAGCGAGTCCAAGGTCAGAAATGCCCAAGGGCTCAGAGAATAAGGAAAACAGGTGCTCTCCTGGAGCAATGCAAGTTATATTACAATTTGTTTCTTTCCTCCCTCTGGACTTTATAATATACTGATGCAATGACACCATACTTACAGCAACATGTGTAGAAAGAAAATATGTAAATACAGCAAAAGTTAATTTTTTTTCTAGGTTGTCTAGAGAGTAACTGGTTATGTATGGAATGGTCTCTAACACTAAGCATAGCTTTCTGTCAGACAGCTGCTGTTATTTATGGAAGCAATATAGCTAATGTTTATTATTGGACAGATTTCTCCTACATGAAACAGAAAGAGCATACGGTTTTCTCTGAATCTTTTCAGTAAATAGCAGAAGTAGGACTGGGACTTCAGAAATGTCATCCAAGTGTTGTCCCTTGGGATAAAAAAATAAAAATAAAAATATCAAATAGGCCTTCCTAACATGATCGCTTCTTATTAGCATAGTAGTTTTCAAATTAACAACCTGCTAGTGTCTTTAATAAGCAGCTCCTCTGTGATGAAAACTGCAAATGGAGTGTATTGGTGGATAAGAGAGAACACTAAAACCTGTCAATAAAATAAATACTGTTCTGCCTGAACAGTGCTGATATTTACTCTGTAAGAACAACAGAGCTGTTCAGGTAATTTTTTAGGCTGATATTTTACAGACATGTTACAGCACTATGCTGCTTACTTGAGCCTATGATGTAACATTGAATGTAACCTTTTTAGTTGCATTTAGTATTAAAACAAAATAAGCAAGAGATCCGTAATTAGTTAAAAGCTACTCTGGAGCCTGGATAAAATATATAGCTGATCTTAATAAAACCATAGGAAGTTATATTTTCTCTATAGTGTTGTAAACTTGAGGAATGAATAGTATTTTTAGCAAGAAAATGGATGATTTTGTGTCCTGGAAGAGAGTTTTATAGCATTATTAAAGTTTTCTTTTGAGAAGTGCAAACCAAAAAATAAAAGTTCAGGGTTATTAGAATGCCTGGTCTGTGTGAAGAAATGGAAGATGGCTTTTAATTTTTGTCCTTGCATTTTAAAATGTAGGAAAAAAAAAAAGCTCTTTGAATGTTGTGAAATGTAAAAGTTATTGTTTCTTGGAAACATATTGAACTTGTACATCATTTCCAAATGATGTTTGCCATTTCAAAGTTGTTTTGAATATGATTTATTTGGTTCTGTCCTTGATTTACCTTTGATTGCAAAACGTCCTTATGCTTGTTTGGATTTTGTATTTTCACAATTATTTTTTAGTAATCACGTGTGTGCGCCACACGTCCATGCACATATATATAAGGAAGGAGGGATTTGGAAGATGATAAGGTCATAAAAATTGAGACTGTATTCCTTTTAATCCCATGGTGATTGTTGCTGGTTTTTTTATTCTATATGTAGGCTTTGGAGAAAAGGGAACATTCTGAAAGGAAATCGAGCCATGCTTATCTTTGTTCCGCTTCTGGAATGACATCATTTTATGAAAATGCAAGGAATGTACAGTAAAACCTAGAGCAAAAAAGATCTTTGTGGAGAGATGATTTATGATGTTTAAAAGAAGGAAAACAATTATGTAATAAATACAGCCCATGAGATTCAAAGTGAAGGAGGCATCACAGGTGCAGATTGTAAACTGGCGCAAAGGAAAGAGGATAGGTCTTTTAAAGGTAGACTGTAAGCAACAGATGACACACAGGAAATTTCCTTTCGTATACATTTGTATTTTATGATCAGGGCCTAAAGCATAATGTTTATAAACTCAAGAGAACATCCGTATTCCAGTAGAGCAATGCAGAGCAGCAGTATTAATTTATATGAAGTGGGAAAGATGTGTGGTCTGAAGGGTCAGCTTGTTTTTTGAATTTGCAAATGACATGATCTCTGCCTTTCTGCTTTTGTTTTGCTCTATTTTGCTGTTCTCAGCTACATACTTGTTCTTTTAGCCTATAAATATTATGACCAATCTCCTGCAAAGTTTAGATGGGACCAGTTTAATATAAACAAGTACGTCTGTGCCAATGATGTGTGAGTAAGCAGAGCCATCTTTTGTGATATATCCTTCCCCTCCATGATTGCCAGGGTTTTGCAAAGCCTGCTGTGGTAGCACATGGTTCTTTGTCAGTCTGACTGTCTTGGGATTTTGTTTAAATGTTTGATGGAGGGATCGCCCAGTGAAATGCTAAAGAGGACATTTGAAATAAAGTAGCTTCTGTGAAATGTTTTGCATCCTGCAAGTTAGGTCCCTGACCATACAAGGTACCACCTCAGATCTTGGCCAGAGGAGGAGCACCACTTGTAGGGTATAGAGATCCATGCTAGCAGATGTGATCTGATGATAGGTCTGAGCACTAACGTAGAACATTCCAAGACTCTCAAATACCAATACAGCCAGTTGTGTTGTGTTGTTCCCTGCTGTGGCAGTATTGCTTTGATGCAGTGAGACAAAAGCACAGGTTGTCCCTGTGACTACTGTGATGCTGCTGAGCAGCAGCATTATCACTGTAGTAATCCTAAATTAGGTGCTGTGCAAAAGAATTGCAAGGAAGCACTGAGCACCAGATTGTTTTCCATTCCACTTGCCATTTTCAGCCACTGGGTTGGAAAAATAATTCTTTCAGGTATCTGGATTCTGTGGTGCTCTGCAATGATATAGTTACAGATGGATCCAACCATGCAACTATATGCTCAACTTTAAACATAGTGAGTGAGTAGGCCCACTTATTTTGTGTGCCTCTTTGCAGCTGTTTTCTCCACTTAATCCAAGGGTCAATTCCTTTCTTCCTTCCCAAAATGGCTCTCTCTTCCCATTTCAAGGAGTCCAGGTCCCTTTACTAAGACCCACCAGTTGCCCTTCCCCAGTTTTGAGCTACTCTGGCTTTGCTATACTTTTGATCTGGCAGCTTTTCTTTTCTGTGTCCTGAGTACTAGTAGATTCTTCCCTGACTCTTCCTCCAACTGTGGCAACTCAGCTTTAAGGCAGGTATCTCTCCCACCATCAGCCTCATGTCCCATGCCTGATTCCTCAGTACTGTGGCTGTCAGTATGCTGATCAGCATTTAGCCAGGGCCTGGACTGTCTGTGTGATACAAGATAAATCCTAAAGAAAAGGATTCTGCCCATCCCTATGCATTCCAAGGGAATCAAGGATGGGAGGAGTCTAACATTATCATCTATGGGAGAGGAAGGAATTGGGCTACTTTTTCCCACAAGAAATTGATCTATTTTTGTATGCAAGCACTGTCTGCCATGGGACCCAAAGTAGTTTTCATTCACTGACTCGCTGTCTCTGGAGGCTTTTCCCCTGAGTTTCAGAGGAGCATACTATAGTGATTTGCAACTGGAAAAGTAACAGCATACTTGGCTAAAAAGTGTTTAAATAAAAGGTAGAAGTATTACTTCTTTACAGCTATATCTCATCTTTGGAGACATAGTTAGACAGCTTCTACCAACCCAATGCCTCCATGTTTATTTTCAGAGTTTCTGTAGATTTTATCGTAATAGCTATTGGGTGAGAATCTTGAGGCACTGTATCAACAACATGATTTATTCTGTATTTCTTGTGCAGAATGCTAAAATATGATTTCACACTTGCCTGCGTTCTCTTTTAAGGTACTTTTATGTATTTTTTTTTCTTTTAAGGCTGTATAAGTCTTTTAGAAACCTGTATCAAATCTCTTCTATTGCCCATTCATCATATTTATTGGTAAATGCTTTCTGATGAACCTCTTTTCTCTTGGGAGACAACTCTGAAACCCAGGCAAGATCTAAGAAAAATTGACCAGAACAGAACTAGTCTTCAAGCTATATCTTTTTCTTAGTAAAATATGGTAAACCATAGATTCTAGGGCAATGGTTCTTAACTGTTTTAGATTCAGGGCACCCCTCCACAAATGACAGGTGTTAGCTTTGACTCATTTTTGACTATGACAAAAATGATAGAGCAAATATTTATGGCAAAGAACTCAGAATACAGCACTCCAGATGTTTTTGGACACTATGGATTCCTTTTTCATATCTCTGGGTTTATCTTGGGAATTATGTTTAGGTGTTTATATACCTCAGTGCTATTGCATAGTACCCTGGGCACCCCTAGAAGGATCTCATAGCACCCTGTTTGAAAATCACCATTCTGG